TTCAAAGGCCCTCATCATATTTCTGAGATGGCTTTTTCTTTTTCTGGGCCATCAGTAAGGATTAGAGGATGAAAACTGAAACAGGCTGAATTTCAGCCTGCCCCTGCGAGTTGCAGCAAGGCTCCAGGACCTTCCCTTGAACTCAGAGTGGCTCACGCTCCTCCTCCGGTATCAGATTGCTACCTGCATTATACTCCAGCCCACTCCTGTTTTCATGATCCCAAGCAATGGCTCTTGTTTCCCCATCTCAGAGACTCTATTCCTTGGTTCAACACTCGTCTCAGAAAGTTTGGCCTTTTATATAGATGCCTTATTTCCCACTGCTTTCTCATTTCTCTTCACCATTTACTGTCACTTAGGCTCCGTGCCACGTGTGTTTACCACTGAGGACTGTTCATTAGGTCCCCCTGAGAAAGGCAGAATTGCTAAGGCAAGAAGTCAGCATCAAAGCAGTTCAAGATGATGGGCAAGTTCAGCTCTAGATTCAGACACCTAAACAAAGGTGTCTTCAGTGGACATGTCTCCATGTGATGGGGGTGTCCAAGCTTCCTTTGTGTTCAGTGGAGATGTAGGCAATACAGCCACAGGGTCTAAACAACAACCTTCATACAGCTCTGGCTCCACTAGCTGTAATGACCCTGGAAACAATTTGGTTGACTTTTGCCTAGTGTCATTTGAGACACCCTCAGTACCCTGCCTCACTCCAGCTCCCAGCTCAAAAATGTTCTTGTCTTCTGTGTGCAAGTTTGTCACATCTGCCAGCTCCACATGGAGGTCTGAAATATCCTAGAGCATCTCAAAGGTTGCTGGATTCCCATCTGTGATTGTTGCACTAAGCCTTAATTCTCCTTTGAGTAAACTAAGAGACATCACTCACCCATGGACACCCTGAGGTGAGTCTCTACAATAGTAGCTGAATCTGGTCTGGAACGCAAGGTCTAAAGAGATCTATTCCCTGCTTTGGCATGGATTTTATATGAAACCTTGGATAAATCCTTCAAATCTTAGTGCTTCTTCTGTCAAATGGGGACATTAGAAAGTTCTACCTCACCGTACTGAATGTAGGTTAGGAGATGTCTCACCGTAAGGGCTTCAGGGCACATCACTAAAGGGATCTGGAGAACTAATTCTTGTGATGTGTCATTCAAGACATATGGGCTTGACTCCTCAGTGGTGCTGACTACGGCCTGTGAGTCACTCATTGTTCTAGCAGGTGATAGGAGGAGTTCAAGGGCTGTTGTACAGCCCGGTGCAGAGAGTTGGAAGATAACCCCAGTCTGTGCCAGTCTGGTTACGGGCGGGTGGGATACAGATCCCACAAATGCAGCCACAGGGCTTCCAGCCCCATGGTAGCTGATGTCCTCCTGGCTTGAGAATGGCCACAGAGATGTGGCAGCGCATGGTGGGTATTTTCCACTCCCAAGACTAAGCACAGAGTGGGAGGAGTGGGAGTGGGGTTTTTGAAGTGACTTCAGTTTTAAATCAACCCCAACCCTTTGATAAACAAACCTTGGAAGGGAATTGAAACCCACTCGTGCTAGATGAAGGTGCGTCAGTCACCATGTGCAAAAGTCATAATCAAAATTAAAAAATACTTCCCATATGATCCAACTTGCCAGGACTTTTTGTTCTAGTTGTAATTGGAGAAATCTCTCTAGTTGCTTAGAAATAAGGCCTGGAGAAGTAGGAAAGAAAGGAACGGTTTATCCTGTAGTCTGTGAGAATTGCACATTGTATGAAGATGTCACAGGCTGGAAGTAACAGGGAAAGATGGGAATGAGAAACTCATGGTCAAGCTCAGTTGGTTAGAGCATGGTGCTAATAATGCCAAGTTCACAGGTTCAATCCCTGCTTACTGTAGGGGGGTTGGGCTCGATGATCTCTCAAGGTTCCTTCCAACCCAAAGCATTCTATGATTCTAAGTAAGAAGACAAAAGCCAAGGCTTGGTGTACTTTGTCATTTAGGTCTGTATGAAATAGCTAGGGAATAACTTCTGTGGCAACACAGTAAGAAGTACTGGAGAAGTCTTTATATCACTCCATAGTGTCTGTTGACATCCACCTACTGATCGCACCCCCCTTACACCCAGGTCCAGATCCTGCTCATCACTAGGATGCCAAAATTTGCATTTGGCACAGAGTCATGAAGTTTTAAACAACGGCAGAAATATGTCAAAATGTCTAGAGATACTTCATTCCCCCTCAGATCTTAGGGCAAATGAGGAGGCAACAAATTGTTTTGTAGGGTAGGATTCATCCCGCCTGACTGCTGCCGTTCGCAAGTCCCCGCACTCCCCTCTAAAGGGATGGAGACAGACACTTTGGGAGCATGAGTCAACCCCCTTTGTCCCACACATGGATCTTAGGACAAGGTGAATCACTTTATGGGGGTGTCTGACTCTCTCTGTTGACTGGAGGAGACGTTCAGATGACTATCAGCAGGCATGGTACCGTGCAATATGAGTGACTCAACACACATTGTCTCAGCCAGCTCTGTGCAATTTACAGCAAAGATTGTGATTACTGTAGGTTTCTGCACTGAGAACACTACGGTGGGAAAAGCCTTTATGTGTATACTGGGTTTTTGTTTCTGGTGTATTTTCTTCCTCTCTCTATTCTAGAATAAACGAACCCAAGAGAAACATTTTTAAGCCAGTGTGACACATCTGTCTCTTGTGGGTTGGCGCTGCTTGAGTTTCAGTATACAGGTACATTTAATGCCGTACAAGTTTCTAGTACAACAGCACTAAAATAAGACAATACATGACTTCTTTTTTTCAGCTAATCATGGAAAGTTTTTAAACTGAATCGCTAGAAGACACTGCAACAAGCAGTACTTATACACATAGCAGCACTTACCTTAAGAATTGTGTGGCATTGCTTAGCCTTCCAAAACTGTTAATTATGTCTACCAAAAAGTAACACATCTGATAGGTTAAAAATAAATCTAATCTACATCTGTTTGGGGCTGAATCTATTCACTTTAATTTTCCATCCATTAGACTCCTCGAGTCCAATATGCAAGTGTTTCTTATTGAGGACTTAGAAGTTGGGGAAAATTGTGGTTTTCTTAAAAATGGTGGCCTAAGGCTTTCCTCATCGATAAGGCCACTGATCTTACTGGTTTGTGATTTGCTATTTTTTAAAATTCAGTCTGAAATGCTAATGCACTTGTGAGCCCAAAAACAAGGTATTCAAAGAGAGACCTGAGAGCTGGCAGAAAGGTGTAGTTTTGGTGGACCTGCAGGCTGGGAGAATTTCAGTGAGGAGCAGAGATGGAGGTCTGCCACCCTTCCTGGCCACCTTCTCCAGCACATCTCCTCCAGGCACAGCTAGGCTGGAGAGGGGAAAATCTAACCCCACTGCACTGGGGGGTGGGCTCCTCAAAAAGAAGATCAAGTCTCTATCATGAGGTCTGAAAAGCCAGTGGATCTTCCTTCCATTCCCATGCGAGCCAGGCCCTTGTGGGAGGAGGTTTTCAGACATTTTGGCTTTTTAACCCTGAGCAGCTGCAGCAAGTAGTAAAGGCAAAATAGAGCTGGACCTGTTTTCCAGTCTATTACACACCAGAGATGGAGGGGAATTTGTTATTGTTTGTTTCGCTTGAAACTGTTAGCATTTTTTCCTTCAGATTTTGTAGGTGATGCTCCCAGAGGAACCTTTGGCAAAGGCCCAATCAAAGTATAGCTAGCAAATTATTTAGCTTCCCAAACATGGATCTTAGTCCATCATCTGTTCCCTCACCTGCAGAGCAGTTGTCCAGTGAGCAGCAGTGGGAGCAAAGGAATGAGAAGCCGGTGGCCTTTTGTTTTCCCAAGGATCTATCAATTAATTTTTATTATGATGCTTTGCTCAATGAGTTGTTCAATTTACCCTTGCAATAATCAATGGTATTGTATTTTGAAAAGCTCCTGAAGTGTGACGGGCCACTGTTTTATTCATTGGAGCAAATAAATAGTTTAAGTGTTGGTTGTGATGGGGAATAAGATCAGGCCCCTTTGGAATATCATGGGGTGCCTGCCCCATGCCAGGGCACAGGGGGATGAGTTGGGAACCGAGGGTGACCCCAGCACAGGCAATGCCCTCACTGATGGGAGCAGTGCCATGGCATCTGAGTGCACTGGGCAGAGTAATGCTGGTAATGGCTCCCTCAACAGTCACAGGCAAGGCAAGGGGATGGACCAGATCTTCAGGCTCTTCAGGGCTCCCACCAGGAGCAGAGAATGAGACAGGGCTGGAGACATGACTGCAACTTGGACCTGTGGTCCATCCAGGAGACAGAGCTGGAGATAAGCTGTCTCCAATATAGGTCTTCAGTCCATCCTGGACACAGGGCAGGGGAGTTGCTGGAGGGATCAGATTCTTTGTTTTGGGACCATTTGGAGGGTATTGAGGAGTCCTGACATTCCCTGTATTTGTATATTCATCTCCATGGGACCACAGGGTGACAAAAAAACTGACCACCTGCCTATTTTTCCCAAAGGTGAGATTCCTGATGAAGGCAGAATCAAGTACAAGCCAATGTGAATGTTGCTTGTATGAAATTAGAATAAAAAAGATCCATACAGTTACAAGGAATACAGATGTCCTGCTTTTGCAGTGGTGCACTGCAAGACCCGCTTCTACTAAAAAGTAACCTTCATACTTGGGCTGCAGCGTTTAAATGGGATCTGGATTTCGAATTATCAAACGTGGATCTAATCAGGATGAGGGCAGAGGCTGTTCCCTGTAAGAAGAGCAGAGCTGGAGTGGGGTGGCAGAGCCAACAGCTCAGGAATATAAGCATAATGTGCTGTGTCAAAGAACTCCTGAATACAGTATAATTTCCAATTCCCACACTGATATTTCTGTATTTCTCTCCTCTAGACTATAAGGACAACCTGACGTGAGTTGAACCTTTGGGCTACTGAGCCTGCCCCAGATGCAATAATTTAGTGAGCAGATGATGTTTTCAACCAAACCTCCTGTCTAACTCAGTGGATCTGTGTGTCTTCCGGCAGGTGTGTCCTCTGTGGCCTCCCTGATGTCCCTGGCTTGGGTGCTAGCCTCCTATCACAAGCTTCTTCGGGACTCTAGGGACGACAAGAAGAGTATGAGCTACAGAGGGGCCCTCATCCATGTCTTCTGGCGCCTCTTCACCATCTCATCCCGAGTTCTTTCTTTTGCTCTCTTTGCTTCCATCTTCCAGCTCTACTTTGGGATCTTTGTAGTGGTCCATTGGTGTGCCATGGCTTTCTGGATCATCCATGGTGGGACAGATTTCTGCATGTCTAAGTGGGAGGAGATCCTCTTCAACATGGTGGTAGGGATTGTGTACATTTTCTGCTGGTTTAATGTCAAGGAAGGGCGGACTCGATACAGAATGTTTGCGTATTACACGGTAGTCCTGACGGAGAACGCTGCCTTGACGCTCCTTTGGTATTTTTACAGAGATCCTGACACTACTGACTCATATGCCGTGCCAGCACTGTGTTGTGTCTTTCTTAGCTTTGCTGCTGGGATAGCTTTGATGCTGTTATATTATGGTGTGCTGCATCCCATGGGGCCAAGAGCTAAGATCTTTGCCAGCTCCTGTTGCGCCGAGCTGCTCTGGGGCATTCCTTTGCCCCCCGATGTTGAGCCCATGGCACCCCAAACCCCTGGGTACCGGGGGGCCCAGGCTACGCCCACCAGAGCGGTCACGGAGCAACAGGAGGAACTCACAGCTGACACTTGCTTGCCCGTTTTCCAGGTGAGAGCAATGGTACCATCTACTCCATCTGGGCGACCCTACCCCCCCGAGGGGCCTCTCATTAAGATTGACATCCCAAGAAAAAGATATCCTGCATGGGATGCTCATTTTGTAGACAGGAGGTTAAGAAGAACTATCAACATCCTCCAGTATGTCACCCCCACAGCTGTAGGTATTAGGTATAGAGATGGACCTCTCTTATATGAGTTGCTACAATATGAATCTTCACTTTAAAAGCTCCTTAAAGCAAAAGTAAAAGAGGGGACCTTATTTTTGTTTACGGTAAACACAGATCATGAAACAAACACAAACCTTCAGATAAGCTTTCTTTCTGGTTGCTGTATGTATAAAAAAAAAAAAAGATATTCTCTATGTTTTGTAAGTAAAAACAAAAAGAAAAACTTTTCTTTTGTTTTTTACACACAAGAAACAGTATTACAACTTCCACACCTAGGATTCACAGGTGGAGAAGGAGGCATCTCCACATCAGTTTTATACCGTACACCAAGTGTAGAACATTATTTATGGGATTGGTGCTGATTGAAAAATAAAAAAACAAACAAACAAACCTACAACTGCCTTATGCCCTTAGGTGCTGAGTTTCATTAAGTACTGTCACCTTTCTCATGCAAAACTCTTTGACGATTATATGCCAGGAAAAACACAACCAACTGAAATACAAACCTTAAAATTAAAAAAAAAAAAAAAGAAAAGAAAAAAAGGAAAAAATTAACAACAACAACAAAAAGAGAGAAATGTATGAAAAAAAATCTTGTTGCTCTTATTGGATTTAGCAGAAAAAAACCCAAATGTCTAAAGATAAGAAAGCAAAGCCAAGACAACCCCAATGGAGTTTGATTTTTCCAACAGTTGAAAGACAAAATCAGGTCTGTAACTCAATTTGGCAATGCATTTATAACACCATTTGGCCAAGCCCGCGAGCCTTGACCGAGTCGTGTTATAAATGCGATCCCACCATGTAACCGTTTTCCTCGTGTAAACGGGCCACGCGTAATGGTCGGTTTGCACCAGATTAATATGGTAATACAGTATCTGATCTTGTTTCGAACAATTGCACACGCTAAAGCGCCACTGATTTCAGTGGAGCAAATAACAACCGTCTGAACCCAGAATAAGGCCTGCCACCTTGATTTCTGGAAAATAAGAAATCTGCAGACATTGAAATTATATACCAAAAACATTATACTAAAGTACATTTACACATATCTAATAACTATTTCAGTAATAATAAAACTCAGCATAGTAGCAAAAAGCGAGTCAATTTAAAGGCACAATACTTGATCAGTGACTGGCAAAATAATTTGACCTACTGTATCATTTTAAGGCTGTGAAAGGCATACATGTATTATTTGTAATCTCGTGTAAGACCTGTCATGTCTCATTCAGTACGAGCCTTAAAGTGATTGTAAAGCATCCTTCGTTCCATTCTGGGGTTTTTGGGTTTTGATTTTTGTTTTGTTTTGTTTTTAAGGAAAACAAAACATGAAAATCGGGATTAAAAAAAAAAAACAAACAACAACAAAACAAACAACAAACTTCTTCAAATGGTAATAACCTGTAAACTGACTCACGTCTTGAGATGATTTGGTGCTTTGTATTTTTGTTGATGTTGTTGTTGTGATTTAGCTGAGAATTCTTCAACTTGGTACATGTGGGGAACTGCTGATAAAAACTGTCTCGTGTCACCCTCTCCTGTAAGTACATGGCGAGAAACAACACCAGAGGAAGTTCAAGAGCGTAGCGAGAGCATCGTGGTTTAGCTTAGCCTTCTCACCGCAAGGAGATGCTGCCACCTCCGATGATGGCAAAGCCTAGACGGTCACCTGCCGAGGGTTGTGTGGTTGTCTTGACATTTCCAAATAACCCGCTCGGTGTCTGAACATTCACATCTCTCGAATTCTGTTTCTGCGCTGGAATCTCTTGTTTCGAGTTAAATCACGGGTTTGCGTCTATCCAACACCCTTTTCCCTTTCGAGAGTATTGCTCCTTTAAAGGAATATTCCCATTTCAGGGCATCTTTTCAATCCCACCATCCCTCTACTTGGGAAGGGAAAAACAACAACAACAAAATGAGATATTTTTAAGTGAATGCTGTAGTATTTTCTGTGTGTACTTGCAATTTTTTATTCCAGAAATACTGTAACTGTCTAGGGTGCAAAACTCCCATGCTGACCTATTCTGAAGAGAAGATCAGCATGGGGGGGGATATTTTTTAATTATGATTATGATTTTTTTTTAATTTGAGGAATCAGTTGTTTTTTTTAATTATAATAGTATTTAAAGAAACTAGTACCAATTTTATATAACAGTTTAAAGAAGCTGAATGCTTTCTTCGCCTGAATATACCTGAAGAGAAACATTTTTTTCAAGCAGTGATCCTTTGCAATGTTCTGAGAAAATGTTGGGGTTTCTTCAGTTGTTTCATTTTGTTTTGTAAAGAAAACTTTTAACTAGTGTCTGTCCCTTTCCAGGAGGGCAGGACTCATTCACGCCAAACTATAGACACACGGCAAAGTTTATAAGAAGCCAAATTGTCACTGGTACTGTAATTCCCAGTCAAACTCCATTTCAGGCAAATGTTTCTGGGCTCTGATTACAACCAATATGATGGTCACATTTTCATGCAAAGGGAGGGATTTTGTGTTGTCATCCCCTATCTAAATTCCCAGTCCCTTGTTTACTGTGCACATAAATACATATATATACACACACACATATATATTTGTGAAAAGCTTTCATTTCCCTTCTCCATTGTCCGTGTCCCATAACCAGTCCCTTCTCAAGTGTCCTACTAACATTTCACCCTGTTTCTTCCCTAATCAGTATGCTGTCTCCATAAAAAGAGGTAATTTGTGAAGTGAACTTGCTGTCCCCAGCTACCGAGTCATAAAAACACAGAGGTGCCCATCCTCCAGCAACAGGCCTGCATTTCTGCACCCAGGACTTTCTTTTGACTCACCTTTAATACTAATGTGGACTTACTCTGCTCCAGTTCCCTGAGACTCGTGCCCTGTGTAAAGACTCTCCTTGGTCCTTCCATGAAGAGCTCTCCTCTACACATCTGCATTTCATTGGCATAAGCATGAGAAAGGAATGGATGACAAACAACCCTGCCATCCCTCGAGGACCTTTCCTCCAGGAGATAGCGTCCTCATTTTCAAAAACACCGTGAGAATGTCCCCCTCCCTGAACTTGTCAGCCTGGAGGTCTGGTTTGGAGATGTGATCCCACTCCCTGGCCCCACTGAACAGCCGGACCCTGCCGCTTCGCACCAGGACAGTGAAATGAGTCAATGAGCCGAGGCACACTCATCAAGGAGTCGAGGAGGAGAGCCTTCAGTGTTGCCTCTCATGAACATCTACAGCCTGCCTTCCCTCAGGAACAGGACCCTTACTCCAGACCACCACACCAACAGACGTCCTCTCCATCCCATTATGGGAGCAAAGGGGCAAAACACTCTAGAAGTGACCTTACCTCTCAATGCAGTGCTAATTTCTCACAGCCAAACCAGCTTGACTAAGGGCTTGACACACCCCTGTTCCAAAGTCCTCCTTCTTCGTGGCTCATACTATGGATAACAATGAAGGCAGGTGCCTCTGCTGCGTGTTAAGACTGTTTCATTACGCTTAGTTGCATAAACTTTCTGCCTCCGCTATTAGTCCTTTCTTTGAATGATATCCACTGGCATCTTTATTTAGCAAAAGATTTCCAGTGAGATCCTGTGTCAACCCTGAAGAACTATTTCTCTTCAAAGGACTTCATTACAGCCTTAATGTAAAGCACGTGCTCTACCACTACACCAAACAAGTTCATGGTGGACAGGTTGGTGTGGTGACCATTTCTTCTTGGGATTATCTGTGATCTTGTTGCCAAACAGCGCCTTTTGCCAAGCCAAAAGCTCGGGGAGGAAAATTACCCCCAGCTCTTTATTGGTACTAATCCCAATGCTAAGAGTCTAGTCCTCACCTCCCATTTGGTTTTGGTTTGTTTTTTTTTTTTTTCCCAGGGTCTCTTTGATTTTTGGTGTGCACTTTGGCAGGATGGTCGGTGACTTGGTTGGGTTTCACTTGGTTTTTAACTCCTCAGCTTCTCCCTGGTAGCTTAGTTATACCATATCCCACCTTCTTGCCAGAAGATACTGCATGAGGGGTTTTTCAGACTGCCATGGAGAAGCCTGAGTCCATATTTATTCACATCACAAGATCAGTGGGCAACTTCTCTGGCATGTTTGTGCTGCTGGATTCACCCTGGGATCATCTAAACCAGCCAACTATGCTGTGCCAGGGCAAAGCCGGGGCATGAGGGCTCCACCATCCCCACTGTTATATTTTTCAAACCTTTCCTGGCATGGTTTTGACCCATTCCAATGAGCCCCGGGCTCGGGCACAGCTTGCACAGGCATTGACGTTGGCCAGAGACCATTCCCAATCAGCAGTTCGGATGCAGCTGCTCTGTATCAGGGGTGAAAGAGTTTAGTAGTGTGGATGTGGCCAGCACTTGTCAGTTGGCTTCAAGGCCAGAAAGGATCCTGGCAGTGCTTAATTTACTAATAAAGATGTAACTACATGCCGCAGACCAGGATTCAGGACTTGGTGGAGTACATCAGGTCCTACCCGGCATTTTTCTATTTTCTGCCCGATTCAATGGACAAGGTCTTTTTCAGTTCACTTTGTTCTTTTTCCTGATGTTATTTTGCAAACAGCGTCACTTTTATCGTGCTGATGTCAACCCATCCATCCATCCCTCCATCCCTGTCAGATAGCTGGCATGCTTAGTGTGATAGCGTTATACATCTGTAGGCAGCTAATTTGGAGACAGGAATGATTCAGACCAGACCAAATCAACAATGGAAATACAGGAGTTACAAGGTCCCTGCCCATGCCCTTGTCATGCTTTGCCACCCACACAAGGCATTTTTCATCTGCAGCATATCCAACCTGAACTGCAGAAGAGGATCCAATGTTGTATAATTACCAGTGGAAAGTGCAAGCGAGCCACTGATTTCAAGTGTAAATATATATATTTTCAGGGTTTTGGATTGGAGCTAATTGTCTGCCTCATCCTGTCCTTCTCTGTACCTGCCAAAAGTCAGTAGGCATTTGCATGTATTTTTATTTAAAGCTGACTAGATGAAACAGGACAAAATTAATTTCAAGCTTTAGTCAGTGGTCTGCTAAAACCTGACTGATGCTGCTCACAAGGGGAGCATTGCTATTGACTTTCAGAGCGCAATCAACCTGTGCTCTTCAGATATTTTTCTACACACAAGATTCACTTCACAATTTATCCCTTCTCCTCGTCCCTACACAGAAATGCATGACACATCTGTCACCCACATACCTGCAGCATGACTAAACTTCCTGAAGAAAATGTGGCCTGAGGTTTGTCCAGCATGACTTCATTGAAGCTCAGAGGTGCTTTGAAAAGGAAAACTTACTACTGTGCATTTGCAAAACCTTTTAGTGCCTGCTTGCTGGGCAGCTTGGGCAAGAGGCAATTTGGAAGCTGCCGGAGTCAGC